AGCTTGTATTCCAATGCTTGTTATAGTTTCTCTTAATGATGGATTGATTCAGTTATTTGGGAATCTTATTATGTCTTTCCCATTATTGCTTGTTTCAAAATCAGTAAATTTACACAACATAAATATTTATGCTCTTAAGTTAACTATACTAGATATTTTGTTAAGTTCAGTCTCTTAATGAGCACCAGTGAACATTCGGGATTTAGGATGGACTCTCAAAGTGTTTGGGAATTGCTGTGGTTTACATTTCAGAATCCTGCCTTGGTCATGTAGCTATCATCTTCCTTTCAACTATTATCTTCACTGTAGTAAGTTTGTTTAGCATTTTGTTGTCTTCAAAACATTGACTTTCCACTCTAATCCTTTATGATATGATATTTTTGTACCTTCATCTTCATATTGTCTAAACGTTATTATAGTCGACTTCCAGATTTTTGGCAAAATAATAAAAAATCATCCGTTTGTATAAAAAAAAACCCTAATAATCATTTTTGTTAGATTTCTAAAAGAATTCTATTAAATCCAGAAATTACTTTTTAATATAAGTTTAACAACTTAAATATGACCCAATTTATCAAATTTATACTTAACAAGCCAAATAATTTTCAAAATGTTTAATAAAACTCAAAAAAAAAAAAAAAAAAACTCCTTTGCTTTCCTCTCTTTCTGAGGCGTGTAGTTCCACTAGTCAACTGGTCCCACGTGTTCACAAAGTCAAGAAAGTAACCAATCAGAGATTATATATATATAATATATATAATAATATATATATATATATTATATATATAATTTCTAATCTATTTTTCTGAATCAGTCAATCAGATATTTTTCACTGTTGTTCTGTTCTGGGCTGGTTGTTTATTTTAATTCACAGACTCGAAATAAGGGACAATATTTTTTTTTGAGTAGTTTTCTCTCCCTGAACTGAAACATATATACATGGAAAATTAATATCTTGATTGATGAGCATATGTTGGCAATATATAAATAGATTAATAATTATTTTATATTAAATATAGAAATATTCAATAAGAAAAGTAGTGAAAGATCAATAATGATATATATCTGATTTGTAAGGTTCACAGATTGTGCCTTTTGCTTTCAATATTTTGTTTTTAAGCTAACTTAGAAGACACCAAGTCTCATTATTACAATGACAATTATCAAATTATTTTTTTTTTTTTGTTTTTTAGATAAAAGCAATCCTCTAATTAAAATGTTCTGATATAATTTTGTTAATCGATGTATGTATACTATTAAATATAAATTATAAAGTATTCTTTAAGTTCTATGAGATTAAATTCAATAATATATGAGTATGGTCTTTGATAAAATTATTGTCAGGACATCTTGAGTAGAGAGAGAATAATAGTGTGTTAGTTCTTCTATAATCAAGACGTCCTGATTATTTTATCATAATCATGCTTATTAATGTCATATTTATCTTATTATTAGACTGAAATGATATTTTACTATCCGTATCATATATATATAATTATATATATATATATATATATATATATATATATGTCTAGGCTTGTGTCTTGGCTAAAGATGAAACCAACTAAAACGTTTTTAATTTTTCTCCTTTGGATAAAAATAATATCAATAAACTACAGACACCGATATTTTTGCACCGAAATGTTGTACTGGCCTACATGTCCCTCGATTCGCACAGCAAACCAGACACGTTTCACGTTATTTTTATTTTATCTAGTGAACGGTTGTTCACTTACATGGACTCCCGTCCATATTATATGGACGGGGGTCCATTTACTACGGATGGGCGTCCCCATTTAAAGGACGCCTGTCCATCACTAAAATAGAATAAATTTTTTTTATAAAAATTAGGGACGGTCGTTCATCCGTTATGGACGGCCGTCCTTTCATTTTGGACCGGCACCCGCAAAAAAGGGATGCTCGTCCTTAATCTAACATGAAAATTAAAAAAAAAACTTTAGGGATGCCCTTCCATAAATTATGGACGGTCTTCCCTTACGTTTGGACGGGCATTCGTAATTAATGGACGCTGTCCATTATGTATGGACGGCCGTCCATTATGTAAAGGACGATCGTCCATAAGGAATGGACGGCCGTCCTTTAGTTTTTATTAACTGTTCTTCCCTTTGCATTGGAACAACGATTCCGCAAATTTAAATCCTTTCCTGCAACTAATGTGAAAGTTGAATCCTCCGGGGAGAAGTCTCTTCAGTGTTCTAAGAGCGAGTTGAACGACTCACGGGGAGAGTGTAAGCAGGAGCAAAGTCGAGATGGGAAGTTGGGTTTGGAGAAAAAATCTGAGCTTGGTTACGATTCTTTAACGGAAAATGAGATTTTCTCGGACTCCAAACAAAATCCTGATGGGACATATCTTAAGGAAAAATCCAAACGAGGATCATCGAAATCGTTTTCTTCTCCATTGAGTTGTACAAATTCATCACGGGCTTTGCCTTCCCCGCCTCGAAAGATCGGCTGTTTTTGGTGTTCTCCTAAGAAAATTATCTAGCCCAAGAGCAAGGAAGATCGATAAGTGATTTGTAAAAACGACGAGTTCTTATCGGATTTGGGTATTTTCTCAGTGAAAGAGTAGCAAAAGATGCTAAAGAAGGCAATGAAGGAGGAAGAAAAGGTTAGCCGAGAGGCAGAGAAGGTCATGAAATGGGCAAAACAAGCATCGATGAGAATGAGTGCTCATGACATTGAAGATGAGCTCCTTAGTGGTGATGATTAGAGTGCAAATGAATGAGTATAGTTTAAGGGTTAAAGGACGGCCGACCATAAGTTTTTCTTTAATTTTTCAAAACCAAAATAATGGACGGGAGTCCATTCCTTTTGGACGCCTGTCCAAACGTAATGGATGGGCATCTCTTATTTGCGGGCACCCGTCCAAAATGAAGGGACGGCTATCCATAACGGATGAACGACCATCCCTAATTTTTATAAAAAAAAATTATTCTATTTCAGTGATGGACAAGCGTCTTTTAAATGGGGACGCCCGTCTGTAGTAAATGGACCCCGTCCATCTAATATGGATGGCAATCCATGTAAGTGAACGACCATCCATATTTGATGAACGGCCGTTTACTAGAAAAAAATAAAAATAACATGAAATGTGTCTGGTTTTTTGGTGTGAATCGAGGGACACGTATGTTGGTATAATATTTCGGTGCAAAAATATCGGTGTTCTAGCTTTATTGAAATAATATTTAGGTACAACAACATTTCTGGAAAAAAAAAGGAAGAAAAAGTCAATTGCAGAACTTTGAAGCTTTTCCAGCAAGAGTAAAGAAAAAGATGAAGGCATTGGCGGACATAGCTGTTTCTCAGTATTACGATTAGGGTGCGTTTGGCTCCCTATTTTTATCCATATTTCCAATCCTATTCTCTAAATAATGTTTGGCACACTATTCCAGAAATATTACCCTATTTTTTAATTACTTTTAGACCCCATAAGGTTATTAATTTCACTAAATGCCCCCTGAATTTTTTTTTTTAAATTAACAAAAACCCCCCCATCAACCCAACTTGTCAGATTCCGGCAACCACCGCTGGTGATAGCCGAAATCTGTACAACGGCCTAAATTCCAACCATAAATGGCCAGAATTACACCGATCTGGCCTTTTTCGGTCAGATCTGGTGGATCTCGCCGGAAAAGGCCAGATTTGGCCGTCAGCGACGGCCAAAGAAATTGCCGTCGTTGACGGTTGCTGACGGCCAAATCTTGGCCGTCGTTGACCGAAAATGACGGCCACATCTTTGGCCGTCGCTGACGGCCAAAGGTGGCCGTTGTTTTGGCCTTTCCGGCCGTCGACGGCCATAACAGGCCGTAGATCTGGCCTTTTTCGGCCAGATCCGTAGTGGATCTGGCCGGAAAAGGCCATAATGATGCGTTACGGCACAGATCCGATCGGTCTGTGCCGTAACGAAATTTTCCGGTTAGATTCCGGCGGTGGCGGCCGGAATCTGACACTGCAGGTGGTGAGGGTGTTTTTGTCATTTTATATAGTAGGGTCTTTAATTAAATTAGTAAACCTAAGGGCTTTTTCTTAAATTTTTCAAATTTACCTCGTAATACTCCCCTATCCAACAATCTAATATTATCCTCAAAATCCTATCCAAAATACTACACCAAACGCACCGTTAATGTTTTAAATCTTGGCGATAAATGAATGAAATTATTGAGCTGTCAAGATGTTATATATATATCTTATTATATTATATATAATATATATATATTATAAACAGTTGCTCTCATCAATTATGATCATGAAAGACAAGACTACCACTTCAAGTATTAATAGAAAGTTTTAGCACAATGTTTATGATACTGCCTCGTTGCTTTTAATGTTTGTCCCTTCAGCTGACTTGAGAAGATGGGATGTACTGTATTTTTTGGTGAGTTTCGTTGCTGTACTGTATTTTTAAGATTTTTAGTATTTCACTAGTATCTAATGAATAATGCAGAAAGTCTGTTGGCATGTTTCTTTCTTTGCTGTTTTTGTTGACTAACAGAACATTTTTAGCCTTTCAAAATAATTTTATCACATTATCTTTGGTTTTGAACCATTCAACTTTCAAGACACAGTACTAGGGAGCACAAATTCACAAATTCACTTCAACCCTCTGGGATAGACATTCTGAGTACATTATCTTTTTCATTTTCTTCTACTAAGTCTCTCCAAACAAAGTCCGAAACCAGATCTTTTCTTGTATTTGCTTGAACATATTTTACTCACTTGTTGATCACTAGTCTTCACTCCTTCCCTTCTTGGATACCCTGTTCTCTTTTAGTAAGCACTAATATCCAATCACTTCTTATTTAACTTGTAATCCGATTCTATCCACTTTTTGCATCTAAATTTCGCTGGTATATTTTCCTTGTCACTATTTTTCTGTTATTGTGATTTTGTTCCCTAGTTGTCCCGTTGTTTTCTCTGTTTTGTTTGAATTTTATTATTATTATTATTATTATTATTATTATTTTTTTGTTCAGCTCTATTTTCTCCAAGGAAGGAAAAAGGTTGAGAATGGAAGAAACTGCAGGGAATGCTGTTTTAGAAGTTGGAAAGTGCTTAGCTGCTCCTATAGTGCGTCAATTTATGAACTTGTACAACTACAAAAGCAACTTTGACAATCTCGAAAAGGAAATTGGAAAGCTCAAGGATGCAAGGGATGAGGTGAAGGATAAGGTTGTTGCGGCTGAAAACAACGTGGAAAAGATCAAACAGCAGGTTAAAGACTGGCAGAGGAATGTGGATTCCATCATTGATGAAGCAGAGAAGTTGATTCAAGAGAAAACAAACAGCCGATGTTTCAACTTGATCACCTGTTACAAAAATAGCAGGAAAGCATCGAAAAAGGTGGAGGCTGTAACTGAATTCCTGCAGGAAAAAGAAACATTCAATGAAGTTTCCCTTCCTACCACTCGTGAAGACATTCGGCTTAGGCTTACGAACAAAGATTACGAGGAATTTGAATCCAGATTCTCAACTTTGAATGGTGTTTTGAACGCTGTAGCAGATGCTGAGGCGGGCATTATTGGGGTTTACCTAATGGGTGGCATTGGCAAAACGACGCTGGTCAAAGAAGTTGGTGAGCAAGCCAAGAAAAAACAGCTCTTGGATGAGGTGATTTTCGTAGAGGTATCTGACAAACCAGACACTAAAAAGATTCAAGATGAACTAGCAAATCAGTTAAGTCTGAAATTTGAGAAGGAGGCAGAAAGAGCAAGCAAGTTGTATGCAAGATTGAAGACAGATAAGAAAATCCTTGTAATTTTAGATAATATCTGGGAAGAATTAAATTTGGAGGCTCTCGGAATTCCTTGTGGAAATGATCGTGGGGGATGTAAAGTATTGCTAACAGCAAGAGATCTTAATGTGTTACAGAGTATGGATTCTGTAAAGAATTTCCCAGTGGGTTTTTTAACTGAAGAAGAAGCTTGGAGCCTGTTTAAAAAGATGGCAGGTAATCTAAGTTACAGAATTTTCACATTTTCTTACATATTTTATTATTTTTCACAATTTTATTACTTACATCATAGTCTTGGCCCCTCCAGATCTGTAGAAAAAGTTTGATTAATTTGGATTTATGAACATATAAATTTTACTGCCTTTTATCGTTTTACATGGAAAATAAATAAATAAATAAATGAGCCAAATTTCCCTTTATACTTTGTTATATATCTATCAATTTGATAATTGAATATAACAATTATTTATTATCTAAGCACATAATGTACTATCAAAAGTTAGCGTAGCAAATTCAAAACTAATTTTGAAACATTTATAACATATGCAGTATCAATTTGATAAATTATTCAAAAGTAATTTTGCCCCTTTGACCAGTGCAATCCAACTCCCCCTGCAGGTATTGTTGATCAAACAATTATTAAGCTGAATTATCTGCCGAACGACGTATGTAAGGAATGCAGAGGTTTGCCAATCATCATTACTACCGTAGCAAGAGCGCTAAGGAACAAGAGACATCGATCTCAATGGGAAGATGCTTTGCAACAACTGAAGATGCCTTCCCCGACAGAGTTTGCAGGGTTACTGGAAAAGGACTACTCAAAGATAGCATTGAGTTACAATTATCTAAAAGGTGATGAACTCAAGAGAACTTTTTTAGTTTGTAGTCTAATGGTAAATGATACTACCATTTCAGACTTGCTCAAATACATTATGGGCTTAGATATTCTTGAAGGAGTTATTCGTACAATAGATCAAGCACGAAATAGACTAGAAAGTCTTGTCCTTGAACTCAAGAACTCCTGTTTGTTACTTGATGGGCGAACCAATGAACATTTTTCTATGCATGATGTCGTTCGTGCGGTTGCCATAACAATTGCATATAGAGATCAACATGTATTTACTGAGCGAAACAACATGGAGAGGGAATGGAGTAATAAAGATGAATTGAAAAAGTGCTCAAAAATCTCGCTAGCTGATACTAGTGTGATTAGTGAGCTTTGGCCTAAAGGTTTGGATTGCCCGAAACTTGAATTTTTCAGTATGAGGATGAAGGGTTCTTCTTTCAAAATCCCTGAGGAATTTTTTGTAGGGATGGATAACCTCAAAGTTCTAAGTTTACTTAACATGAAGGTGTTGTCCTTGCCGTCGTCTCTTAGTCTTCTAATAAATCTTCAAACATTATGTTTGAATTATGGCAATTTTGCAGATATAACAATTATTGGAGAGTTGAGCAAACTAGAAATTCTTAGCTTGCAACACTGTAAGATTGAGCAATTGCCAGGAGAAATAGGTAAATTAACTCATCTAAAGTTGTTAGATTTGAGTCATTGTCGAAATCTACAAGTTATCGCACCAAATGTTATATCATGCTTATTGCGATTAGAAGAACTGTATATGAGTGGATGCTCTATTCTATGGAAGGTTAAAGGACTTGAGGAGTTGAATGATTTGTCTCAACTGACAGCTTTAGAAATAGACATTTCTGATGATAAGGTTTTGCCAGAAGACTTGTTTTCCAAAAAGTTGGAAAGATACAAAATATCAATAGGAGATTGGCCGTCTAGATTGGGTAAGCAGTACATAAATGGTGACGATGGGAATTACATGCGTATTAAGAGCTTTTCATATGATGAGCATGCCACATTAAGAAAGTTGAAATTGAAATTCAGTTCTGTCATAAAAATTTGGCCAGAGCAGTTTCAGTGCTTCAAGAATGTTGAATTCTTATGCTTAGACAAATTGGAGAGTATCAAGAATGATGTTTATGAATTAGACAAGGAGGGTTTTTCACAATTGAAACATCTCCATGTCCATAATAATCCTAACATCGTGTGCATTGTTGACTCAACAAAGTGCATACCTTGTGATGCCTTCCCCCTCTTGGAGTCTGTGATTCTTTTCAACTTGATTAACTTAAAAACGATATTTTATGGACAACCCACAACAAAGTCTTTCTACAACTTAAAAGTTATAGAAGTGCAAAGTTATGCTAAATTGTTAAATATCTTCTCATTCTCCAATGCCAGCAAAAGCCTTCCACAGCTTCAAAGAATAAGGGTGAAAGACTGCGAGAATATGAATGTGATTTTTGCTGTTGAAAGAGAAGACAGAGTAAACAAGAATGAAGTGGTTGATAAGATTGAATTCTTTCAATTACGCTTCTTGACTTTGGTTAATCTTCCAAGGATTGCAAGCTTCTACTCAGAAGCAAATACACCTTCAACATTGCAAACCAGGCAGGTGGAATCATCAATTAATTTGCAGTCCAATGAAATCTATTTTGAGGATGAGCTAATTGATACTGACACACCAATTTTTAACAAAAAGGTAATTTGGTTTATTATAACCTTGTACTCATCTTTATTGTATTTTATATTTCTTTATATTATTCTTATCCTTTTGCTCAATCCTTGTGATTTAAAATTTCAGTTAAATCTCTTCACTAAATATTTCTTGTCAATGTTTAGACGTTTAAAACAACTTTGGAGATACAATTTGTGTGCCTCTATAGTATGTTGTCTTATCAGATGGCATACTGTGATCAATATTTCCATCATTGATACACAAAAGAGGGCTTTATAACATTAATGGCATGTCATATACTATTGTTTCTCGGGTTCATATGGTAAATTACTGAGACAAAAATGGAAACTTTTGAGCAGGTTATTTTCCCTAGTTTGGAGGCCTTAAAACTTAAAGCAATCAATTCTGAAAAGATCTGGGACTACCAACTTCCGACAATATCTTGTGGCTATCAAAATTTGAAAAGCTTGATTGTGCATGGCTGTCAAAAACTAAAATATGTATTTCCATATTCAATAATCAAAAGCTTTGAGCAGCTCCAACACCTTGAGATAAGGTATTGTAAGGAATTAAAGGAGATTGTTGCCAAAGAAGAGGGAGCAGAAGCAACTACTACATTTGTCTTTCCCCAGGTAGCATTTCTAAAACTTGAAAACTTGCCAGAACTTACAACTTTCTACCCTGGCAAACACACTTCAGAATGGCCAATGTTAAAGAAGATGGAGGTGCGTAATTGTCACAGACTGCACATATTCACTTCAGAATATAAGGTAAGACCCTTTTTCTATCTTAATAATAATAAGAAAAAAAAATATTTTTTGTCTTACAAGGGCGCATTTATTTACAAAACTATAATTATGTTTTTATTTATTTACAAAATCTCTTGAAAATCTCTTTGACAATGAATAAAGAAAAAAAATATAATAAAATAAACCTAGTACCATATATTTTTTTAAGATTTGCGAATGTTCTTAGTATCATTTTTCATTAAAAAAACTTTTAAGCGCAGGTTGTTATCCCCAATTTGGAGGCCTTAGAATTGGGTTCAGTTAATTCTGAAATGATATGGGATAGTCAAGTAGCGAAAATGTCTCATTGCTATCAAAATTTGGCACGCTTGGTTGTGGTTGGATGTGAAACACTAGAATTTGTATTTTCATCTTTTATGGTCAAAAGCTTTGACCGGCTTGAACACCTTGAGCTACGCAATTGTAGGGTTTTAAAGGAGATTATTGGGAAAGGAGTAGAAGCAAAGCCTACATTTATCTTTCCACGAGTAACCTTCCTACAACTCGAAGACTTACCAGAACTCTCAGCATTCTATCCTGGAGTTCATACTTCTGAATGGCCACAGTTAAAGAAGTTGATAGTGTGTAATTGTGACAAAATAAAAATATTCACTTCAGAATATATGAGCTTCCATGAAAACAATAAGGGTCAACTTGATATTTGGGAGCAACAATCCCTCTTCTCGGTCCAAAAGGTAAGTGTTTTTTTCTTCTTTCTTTAATTTTTTCTAAATAACTAACATTAAAAATAAATATATCTTGTTAAATAAATATATCTCTAATTTTTTCTTTACCAATGCAATGATTCAAAAATATTTTCCTCATTTACATATAGATTACTTGATATTTATGTGTTGAATTGTTTGAGAGAGTTCCAACTTCAACTTGATTTTGTCAAATTGATCTGTAGATTAACCGCAATTTGGAGGAATTAACATTAAACAAAGTGGACAACATGGTAACATTGCAGCATCAATTTCTAGAAAACTTTTTCAGCAGATGTACAGTTGAGATCAAAGGTGATAGATCGACAAATATTCCGGTTGACATCCTTCAAAGATTGAATAATCTGGAAAAACTCGTACTGAGAGAAGGTTCGTACAAAGAAATATTCACATGTGGAGAGGATGAGAAACGTACGGAGATATTGATACAGATAAAAAGTTTGGAGTTGAGCAATCTTTCTGTTGTGAAATACTTGTGGAGGAATGACTTCAAACTGGACGCTGTTCTTCAAAATCTGGAAGTTCTAGAAGTAAGTCATTGTTACAGAATGATAAATGTGCTACCATCCTCGGCATCTTTCAAAAATTTAACAATTTTGAAAGTAAGTTGCTGCTCAGGATTGATAAACATAATCACACCATCCGTAGCAAAACATTTGGTACAGTTGAGAGAAATGGAAATAGAAGGTTCCCTAATGATGGTAGAAATAGTATCGAATGAGAAAGATGTGGCAGTAGAAGATGAAATTGTTTTCAGCAAATTGAAGTTGTTGTCACTAAGATATTTAGACAGTCTCACATGCCTTTACCCTGGGAAATACACATTGAATTTCCCATCTTTGAAAGAATTAATTGTGGAAGAGTGTCCCAAGATGAAGTCTTTCTCTGGAGGAATCTTGAGCACACCAAGTTTATTGAAAGTTCAACAAGATAAGGAGGATAAAGACGAATGGTGTTGGGAAGGTGACCTTAATACAACTATACAACATAGGTACAAAGAAGAGGTATGTATTCTTTTAACAACTATTTTTTCTTTGATTTTCTTATTCCCCTTCAAACTTGAATCGTTGACATTTGACAATATAATTAAAGTTTATTAATAAAAAAATATTAAATTTTAAAATTTAAATGTAAATAAAATTCATAAATATTGAAAACATAAAAGTTTAAAAACTTATTGAAGATAATAAATAATAAAATATATATTGAAAATAATAAATATTCATTGTATTACCATTAAATTTGTTATGTCCTAACTCAGAGGAGACCTAAGGCAATTTCCTTTTAACCTCCTATACCATTTACAAAACTCATCTACTCGTCCCACTGACCTTCTTCTAATGCATTGCTGCAAAGTTTTCCGAATCAGCTTCATGGAGGAGCTGTCAAACCACAAATCCAGCAAAGAGATCACATCCATCCCGGATAATCTCACCCAGCACCAGATCACACAACCCAAAACCCCAACCAGATCACAAAATTCACAGCCACCACAACCAACTTCAATCACAAAATTTATCAACATAGCCACTAACTCTACCACTTTAGTCTCATAAGGGCCCAATTTAACCCCTACTTCACTAACAGACCCATTGTCTCCAAAGCTGCCTTGTCTATTTGGGCCAGAATTCAGCAACACATCTTTTTTATTAACAATGTCCACCCCAGTAGAAAAACTTTGGGCCCTATTCACACCCATCCCATTCTCCAGCCCACGAAGCTGCCCCTTGTTGCCAACTACCACAATCTCACCATCACCGGCCGCCGGCAACAATCCATCTTCAGTTGCCATGGATTCGCCTCTTAGAAACCCACAACAAGCGAGTGAACCTTACCGATTAATGGCCCTACTCGCCGGAAAGGATGGCTCCGTGACAATTGCTTCCGACGTCTCCATCGCTCATCGGCAGAGATCTCATGACTGATTGATTTCGTCCGACTTGCGTTGCCCAACCTTCGTCTTTTCCCAGTGCTCCTACCTCCGCACAGGACGAAGTCTGAGCTGAATGAAGGACTTGTGCTCTTTCACTCACGTCGCTCTCATTCAAAACTTCCATTGACTCGTGATTAGGATGGGGTGGTTCAGATCCCTCATTTGTCAAGTTAATCTCAATCCAACCACCTGCAACCGAATTCATCATCCTTGTAACCCTAAATTCATCACCAACAGATGTTAACTTACCATCCCCCACATGCTTCTTACTACTTGAGCAAACCCCTAATTTTAGATCCCTTTCTCACCCTTCTTCGATTTCTTATTCTAGACGTCAAAAGACGTCAGAATCCGGTGATCCCCTTATCGAAACGGTTAGGTACTGTAGTAGTCCTTGACCAAATGCGCTTATCGTTCAAAATTTGCCATTCTAAATTATGCGTTTTTCATTCATTGTATTACCGTTAAATCTGTCCTGTCCTAATTCAGAAGAGACCTATGGCAATTTCCTTAATTGCCTTGCCACTGCCTTTGCTCAATGCTTATTAGACAACTGTCATATCCATTTCCTGCTAAATTAATTTAGATTTTGACAACTGCTATTTGCATGTCACATGGTTTGTTTACATTCAAAATATATATTTTTTCTGCTTGCTTCCGGTTAAAAAAATATAAAAAATTATTAAATATCATGTGAAATGTTAAAGAGGATATTAATTTGATATGATTTATACAATTGATCTTCAGGTTAACTCCAATCCGAACTTGATCACACTAAGTGGAGAGGACATCACATCTAAATGGCAAGACCAGTTTCTAGAACATCAATTTTCCCAAGTGAAAGTTCTTGAGATCATTAAGGATGATTCAACACACTTTCCAATTGAAGTCCTTGAAGGATTTAACAATCTTGAAACACTGATACTAAAATTGTGTTCATACAAAGAGATATTCTCCTGTGGAGAAGATGAAAAATGTGTTAGGATGTTCACACAGATAAAACAATTGGAGTTATGGGGACTTTTTAATTTGAAGGACATTTGGAAACAAGACTCTCATCTGGACTCAATTATTCAAAATCTTGAAGAGCTACTTGTCGTTTATTGCCACAGTTTGATTAATCTGGTGCCATCTTCAGCGACCTATGAAAATCTAACAACTCTAGGGATAGGGTTTTGCGATGGATTGATAAACTTAGTATCATCTTCTACAATCAAAAGTCTGGTGCGACTCAAAGAAATGACAATAATGGAGTGTGGAATGATGACAGAAGTAGTATCAAATGAGGGAGATACAGAAAACGATGAAATTGTTTTCGACAAATTGAAGTCATTGTCACTTTATAATTTAAAAAGTCTCACAAGTTTCTGCTCTGGGAATTACACACTCAAATTCCCATTTTTGGAAGACTTAAATGTGCGTAAATGCCCCAATATGAACACATTCTCTGAAGGAATCTTAATCATCCCAAACTTAGACAAAGGAAAACAGATTCGGTATGACAATGAAAAGTATTGGGAGGGCGACCTTAACACTACTATACAACATCTTCACAGGAAAGTGGTAAGTATTCAGTGAACAATACTTTTATCTGAATTTTCTTATTCCCGTTAACACTTGAATACTCAATAATATATATATTTTAAAATATATACTTATAGCCATTGTTGCTAGAACACTACCATAAAAGGTCAAGAACTCTTAAGTAGACAAAAGCTACAAATTTTTTAATTTAATAGTGACATGAAGTTCGAAGGTGGCAAACTTGATATATACACTTCCATAAAACATCATGATCATTCAAAAAAAATTCTTTTTATCTTCAAATTTCTTTTTCTTTGATTAACTATCATCAATTTATTGTTCAAAATAACAGTCCCTGCAGTTACTGTTTCCGTTTTTAACATTTTGTGATTTATATTTACAGTATATTCAGAGTTCTGAAAAGGATTCGGGTCAAACTTCAACAAAATCTCCAGAATAAGGGCTCTTTACTGTTGTTGTATGATGTTTTTGAGACATTATTTCGGCCCAAGTTCCCTGTGTTGAGGTCAGATTGCTTTAAGCTTTATTGTTCTGGTTTAGCTTTCCTTCATTGTGAATTAGATGCTTTGAAACTGGATAAAAAGCTTGATTCTTTCTTCATTGTGTATTGGTGATATTTAAATTGTTTAAAGATATGTTTGGACTGCTTAAACATTGAGTGGTTTGATATCTGTACATGGCAGGTAGGTCAGAAATTTCCAGGCAGCTCTTCCAATAGTGCTTGAACAACAGAAATGTGTCCTCCTGTCCAAAACACAAAGAAGTTGAGTTTTTATTTAATGCATTTTTATAATTTATGGACAAAGAAAGTATCCTGCTGCTTCGTAATTTGGTGGTCTCATTCAAAATCCTAACAAAATTTTGTGTTAATACCTGTGGAAATTATGCAGAGGTTATGGAGAGAATAATCCCAAAAGACACAAGAACTGCAGTTTCGGGTTTACCCCCAATTGACTGCCTTACAATGCTTGGATTTAAATCTACACCGTTCAGAATATGGAGTTGTGTCTCATGAACAACATATCCAAAAATCAGAACGATCGGACGGCAAACGAGCTCCAGATCACGATTTGATGATGCACTGTTCACAGACTCAGAAACTCATATTTCTTCTCCGTTTCTCTTTGTTTTTGCCTCACTCTCTGGATGATGGCTGGCTAGAAAGGACAGCCACTGGAGGAGAACACTCACTCTCTCACGTTTTTGGCTGCTGGACAATGAAGAAGATGAAGATAAGATGCAGTTGTTTTGGGCCTAATTTGTTGGACTACTCACATCCATATGGGAGAGAATGAGGTAAGCCCAACCCAACACCAGTTGCTACTGACGTTGTGCCACTAGAAGTGCTACTTC